CCCCCCCCCCTAAATTTACCTCCTGATCTCTGGTGTGGCCAGGAAAATAATTCCCTTGTGAATGTTGACGTGAGATGCAGGGTGCATCTACATTGTAGAAATAATGCAGTCTGACACCATTTTAAATGCTGTAGCTCCATTCTATGGAATTCTGGGGTTTGTAGTTTTACAAGGTCTTTAGCCTTCCCTGCCAAAGAGTGCTGGTGCTTCACAAAACTACAAATCCCAGGATTTTGTAGGATGGACCCAAGGCAGCTAAAGTGGTGACAAACTGGATTATTTCTACAGTGCAGGTTCCCCCTCAGTTGCTGGTCCAACCAGCTTCTCTCTCTCTCTGGACTACAGATGGGCGCCATTGTGTCCTTTGCCTCAGGCAGGAAAATATTTAGGGTCAGCCCTGACTCAAGAGCCAGCCCATGTTTGGTCCTGAGTTTTGCTATTTTAGCTACACACCTCAGTTTCAACTGCCAACCCTCTATGGTTTTAAACCATAGCTTGGAAAAGTTACTTTTCAGGATTATGGCTCCCAAAATGCTCTAGCCAGCATGACCTGCAGCCCTGGTAGCTGGAGGATTCTGGGAGCAATCATCCCCAAATGTAGTCTTTTGTGGGCTGTTGTTGAAACCGCATGTCATCTCTATTCCTGGCAGCATAGTTATTAGTCTTCAGTGGAGTAATGCACATGTCACTTGGAACAGAAGGAACAGGAAGATTGAAAACATAGGAGAGAAGAAGAAGCAGGGAAGTCTATTCTGTGCTGGTTTTAGGGGAGAAAGAAGGCTAAGTGGGATCTGGGGTGCCAAGTGGGCCAGCCAGCACCCCATCTGGCACCAAATCCTCTGGGGAGAGGTCCAAGACCCTCTGCTGAAGCTGAAGCTGAAGCTGAGAGAGTGGAAACCTGTGCTGGAGCTCATGTGCTGCTAGGGCAAAGGGAAGCAGCAGCTGGCCTGGCCTTTTCCCCACCCCTTCAGATCTTAAAGGCATCAGAGCATCTTGTTAATTGTTCATTCCCCTGGAGCTACAAATGAAATTAGTTCTGCAGAGCATGCAGACACAGGGCGAGCAAAGAAGAAAGCACGTCATTGCAAAGGAGGCCTGTCTTTCCTCTGCCATTCCGTTTTTCTGCTGTGATCCATCCTCTTTGCCTTCTCTGCTAGTTTTCTTGGCCTCATGGCCCACCTTAAATTGATCTACAAAGGAGTCCACCTTTCTCTTTGCTGCCTGCGCCCTACTTGGTCCAGCCTCAAAACAAATGGACTCTGAAAACCAAGATGAAAATATACATTTGATAGTGGAAGCTTGTGACTCTGAGGTTACTGGGATTGTGAATCCCCTGCAGGTTTCAGTCTTTAAAGGAGTTATCCAAGGTGCTGAATCAATTTAGGGACTAGGTTAATTGAATATTCCTTTTAAATTCAGACTGAAACCCAGACCGGATTCACAACTCTACTGGCACTGGATGTGGTAGGTGATAGTAAATGAGTAGCTATTACAAACCTGCCTAACCAGAAAGACTGGTACTGGAACATGGAAATATCTATGTCATTTGTTGGTAGGGTTCTCAGTATGCATAAAAGAGCCATAATTTTCAAAGCTGTGCACCAGGAAACCCCAAAGTATATTCAAAGCTTACCAAGCATCTCTCAATAAGGTCAGCAATGGCTTTTGAGCTCTCTTAAAAGACTCTTTCCTTGCCATGGGCTGATCCTTAGTGGTGGTGATGTTTTCATACCACTCATGCTCTGTAATGCTCACTTTCTGGAAACCCAGAAGGCTTTTAAGGTAGGGCTCAGGAACCTCTGGCCTTCCAGGTGCTATTGGACTATAACCTCTATCATCCCTCTGCACTGGCCAAGTTGGCAGGATCTTATGGAAACTGGAGTCAAAAATACCTAGAGATCTACAAACCCTGTTCTTGGTTTACTATCCATTCTACCCAAGATTCCATTTGACCTAAGAGCCCTCCATATGAGGAGGATTTGTATCCTAGGCCAGCAATGGATGACAGAATCCATGTCAGTGCTGCCATTGAACTATATGTTCCTGGGCATTACTTCTTTAACAGAAAATTTGGATGGAAAGGGTAGGAATAGGTTCCTATACCACAAAGATGAAGAGCAGTTCAACAGCTTTCTGCAAATATTTTTATTCCAAATTGACAATATGCTTATATGAAATGAAAAAACCTGGTCAGGTAATCCTTGCATAAGTAAATAAAAACATTTGTAATTTTCTATAGAGCCCTTAAAAATTTCTCTCAAAATTATTTAAGGATTACTCTTTCTTTCACCAGCCTCCGCTTTCCTCATGATTTCCATTTTGGTAGCCAGACCTAAAGATCTATGCCTTTTTTAACATCCTGGGGACAGCTGGTGAGACAGGATAGTCTACTCTTCCCTTTCTTCTCTCTTTTGCTATTCATGCATACTCAGTAAGGGGTTCTTGAGGCAACTGCTGTTTGCCTTTACTGTTGTGGGTAGACACACACCCCTACAGTAGGACAAGCAGAATCCCATTCTTTCCCACCTTGAGCTTCATTACATTGTCTACTGCAGACATGCAGCTACAGCCCAATATCAAAAGTCTCCAGCCCTCCTTTATCATCCTCACAATGCTGGTATTGCCAAAAATCTTCAGGCTAGACAGAAAATGAGGAGAACAAGGGAGATGCTTGGGCATAAAAAAGACTATGTAATATTCCATGCCTCTGAGAAAAAGGATCATAATCCACGAACATTCACACTAGTATAAATCTGTTAGTCTTAAAATGCCTGTTTAAGGATTCAGATATTAATTTCTCAATCTCAAAGATGATCCATAGCACCCTTTTGCACTGCCTCCCACAGGATTCTTCTTCATTTGACTGTGAATGACTCTTCAGGATGGCTCTTATACCTGGATAGGCTGTAGTTTGAACCTTTATGTATAAAGCATTTGTGCTTCCATTGAACTATCTGTGCCCCTTCTCTGCAATGTTCCACCATTCACTAGTAGATAGCAGATCACCTGCATACCATTATTTTGAGGTACAAATACTTTGTTATATTTTGTTTTAAAAGCAGTTACATAGAGGCCAACAGGATAATCCTGGAAAGGTCATTATAACCTTTAAGTGAACTTCTCATGAGTGGTCACATAAGACCTGAGGGCATGTGGAAAGAACTCATGTAACTTAATGGGTATAAGTATTGCATCTTCCTAACCCCCTGTCATGTACATTTCCTCTTGAAGGTCAAAGAAGGTCTGTCAGCCTAAAGCAATAAGGCTATCTTCCTGCTAGCCTCCACTGTATTTCCCAACACTTCATCCTGTCCCATACTCCCCGGGGTTGTCTTGATTGTTGTGCAGAGGGGCGGGCTATAAATAAAAATTATTATTATTATTATTATTATTATTATTATTATTATTATTATTATTATTATATTTTATCACTGCTTGGTTAAATCAATGTCACTGCCATCAACCAAAAATATTCCTTTTGTAACTCTGAAGTTAAAATCATCAACCAGCTGGGAATCCCATTGTTTCTGGGATTCCTGGAAAATCAACTTAAACTGCCTCAAGACAGTATCTGCATGTTCCCATTCTTTCACTATTCATTCTGCCTGGTTTATTCCAGCCTTAAAAGCCAGTATGATGTAGTGATTTGCATGTTAGACTAGAACCGTGGGTTCAGATCCCTGCTCAGCCATGGAAATCCACTGGCCAAGTCACAATCTCTCAGCCTCAGAGGAAGGCAAAAGCAAATCCTCTCTGAACAAATCTTGCAATGAAAGCCCTAGGTTTGCCTTGGGGTTACCATAAGTCAGAAACAACTTGAAGACAAGCAAGAACATCAGCAATTCCAGCCTTGCTTCTCATTCATTGGAGATGGCCACAATTATTTACTCTTTTGGATCCATGTTTCAGTATGGCCTAATTCTGTTGCTTGATCCTTTAAGTCCTGATGCTTCCAGGGAGTTGTTGCACCCTGAGTTAGCTAGTCTGCTACACAGCACTTCAAATAGAATTTATAATGCAACATCAATAAGTTTATTAAAGAAGGTATGAGGTAATCTGGGCTAGCTGGCCAGGCGGGATGATGTTAGCATGAAGCAAAATGGCAGTACAGAGATAAAACACCAAAGGCTTTCTATTTTAAGACTGAGATTCCTAATTAATATTCATTTTTCAGCAATGCACCATGATGATCCCAAGGACCTCCTTATTCTCCTCATATGGAGGACAGCAGCATATGGGTGGTGTTGGGGACTCCTTCTAGGCCCCTTGAGGATGTTCCATGCAGTCTCTTGCATTGGTGTAATTCCATTGCACCAGCAGTTACATTTTCTTGGTCC